ATCGACTCCCTTGTGCATTGGGAAAATGACAGGATTGCATTTTGACATGTTGAACGGCAGCTCGCGGGTTTCTGACCAAAAGGTAAGATCGTTAAGAATATCCTGCAATCTGACTGAAGTGGTCGTTGTGGATTAATTGACGCCCAGGACAATGCCAGCTGAGTATTTCAGCAGGATTGCTTCTCTTAGGGCTAGTATTGAGCTTACAGAGTTAAAGAAGAGAAACGGTGACAGAACCTGGTGTAGGTGACTAGGGGCGAGGAGTTTCTGCCTCCAAATCAAGTAACCTGAGTACGACCGGTAAAATAAGCTCTCAAATGATGAACAATAGAAGGATGTATTCCAGCACTGAGTAGGTCTTTAAGCAGTAATTCGCGGTTTAGGCAGCCGAATGCGTTACTGTAGTCTAAAGAACAGACTTGGGTGAAGGATTTCAGCGTGGCTCTCTCATCCCTGCACTCCAAGACCGACGGTTTCGTCTTGGTTTAGACTAATCAGGTAGAGATAGCCGAGCTCGGAGTGGAGCTTGGCGCATAGTGCTTGGCTGGTATCGCCATGTTCGCTAGGTCATTGAGCTGTGATACCGATACACACCGTCACCTGATGAGTCTAAACCAAGACAAAACCGTCGGTCGTGCAGTGAAGGGATGTCAGATAGCCACATTGAAACTCTCCACTTCGGTGACGGTCCCAGTGATCCTATTGGCAGAGGCTGACTTCAAAGTCAACCGAGTCCACCATTGGGATTGCGGGTCGCAATCCGAGATACACGGCGGGTGCTCCAAAACCCGAAAATCAACCTCTAACCGCTGTGTCAACTACCGCCCACAGAGCTCAATGGCCTAGAGATCATGGCGATAACCGCCAAGCACTATGCGCCGAGTTCCACTCCCAGCTCGATTATCTCTACTTGATGAGTGTAAACAAAGACGAAACCGTCGGCCGTGGAGTGCAGGGATGAAAAAGCCACGCCGAAACCCTCCACTTTGGTGACGGTCCCAGTGACCGTTTTGGCAGAAGCTGACTTCAAAGTCAACCGAGGCCACGATTGAGCTTGCGTGTCTAAATCCAAGACACACGGCGGGTGCTCCAAAATTCGAAAATCAAGACTCGAGTGAACTTGATTTTATCGTCCAAGGAGGACAAAACCGAGTGCACAAGCCAGGCCACTGCATCTTGGGCTGACTCGAACTGCGGCAGGGAAATTGTAGAGAAGCATTAGTCTCCTGTTGTGTCAGCTTCCTCATAAAAATGATTTCGAACGGCTTTAAGGTTACTAAAATACAAGCAATAAGTCGATATTTGCTTGAGCTCCTTTTTGGTATTAGTGTGACATTGACGCCTCTCCAGCAGTCGGCAATTTTATGTTTTTGAATGCATAATGTGCAGAAAGTAGTCAGAGGTTTGGCCAGAAAGTCAGCACATTATTTGAGGACGACGGGAGACAGACTGTCTGGACCACTGGCTTTCTCTGAATGAAGTTGTATCAGTAAATTGCGTAAAGTGTCGATTTCGAGAGGTGGCAGCGAGTGTGCAAACAATTTAGGCTGGGCAAAAGAGAATTCGGAGATCGTATTGTTATAGCAGTTGCAAAAATTTTAGTTTCGCCACATCTACGTCGGAGGTTCATGTACGTTCAGTAGACCCTCTTAGTTGTTTTAGCATTTTCCAGAGTTCACGGCAGCTACTATTCCCAAGTATAACCTGAACGTACACGTTGTTGAGACGGCGCAACTAGTCCTTTATAAGAACAGATAGTGACTTTACTAAAGTGTTTTCTCTTCTTTGAAAGCTTATTCTATTGGTCCACGTAGCCGCATTAGGTGGGGGGGGTGGGGAGAACCTATTCTCACAGATGAACAAATTCGCATGGACAGCAAAATGCTTAAAAAAGTAACTTGTCCATTGACAGCAATATGTAGATATATCAGTGCCAAAAATAATCTGAAATAGGTGGATGATACCATTTCTAGTAGTCAGTCAATATTCTGTGCGGAACACTGCCTCCACCTGAACTTAAAGTCGTTGCAACAAGTAGTCATCTTATGGTTTAGCTTAGAGTAGATCACAGAACAGTTTAATTGTTGCGTGATCAGAGCAACCTAATGGCGCCCTGTTACACATGGAGAACAGCTGCACGCCGTACACAAATACCACATCAAGAGTAGTATCGGATCTAGTGCGGCAATTTACGATGTTCTGTAATCCAGGACTTGCGGGAAAAACGGTGTCAAATCGATCCAAATCACCAGCAAAAATACATAGCGAACGATCGATGTGTCCTATTACAGCCGCAGTAAACTCATCGTAAAATGCCTCTGGTTCAGGTCTCGGACAAGTGGGGGAAATATAGATGTTAATCAGTAAGATTGAACGATAACCACTGATACACCTCGGTTTGACCCTCGGAACTAAGCAAGTAATACGTTGAGAGGAGAAAAAACAAAACTTTCGTGGATATGCACCAAAAAGTGTTAATGCAGATGATGACTCCACCGCCACGGTTACCAGAAGTGCAAGGGGGCGGTCGACCCGATGACATCTGAACCCTTCTACCGATACAAGTGCGCCATCCATCTTCTCATGAAGTCAGGTTTCTTGTAGCAAAACGAAGCCTAGCTGCGAATATTCTCGAGAGTCGATGGTGCTTGTTAGTGCATCCATTTTCCCTAAAAGCGAACGGATATTTGAGTTAAGTAAGATTGGTATGCACATGCTTCCCAGCTTTTCTTCCGAAGAGCAACCTTCCATTCAGCGCGTTGTTTTCTTACACAATTATTGCGCTTCTTGTAAATGCGTTTTAATTTACTCTCTATAACGTGACCGTTGGAAAAGGCACAGCTGGTGGGTGCGGAAGCACATAATATTTCAAAATATCGCGCGTATAGGTCAACTAGATAACAATAGTAGTCAGATAAAAAGAAGTGAAAAAGATGGTTGGCATGACGCCAAAATTGGGTTAGAAATTTCACAGAAAGGAATCGTAGAGCGCGGCTAAGTTTGAAAGCCCCGCCGGTTGTGAAAACTTGCCCGACATACCCAGAGACATAAAGAAGCTAGTTACCCTCGATCATCAATCGCTGCCTTCATAGCTTAGCTCATGTCTGGCTGGAACACGGCGTGAGCAATGATCATGTTCAGCGTCGCGTATTTGGTGCAGGAAGAGCAAGTGAACCGCTCAGCACCGTTATATCAAGCACCAGACTCCGATGACTGGAACCTATGCTGCGCTTGACAGCACACCGACTCCCGCAAGGTGCGCTGGTTGCGCGCCTGGGATGTGGACGAAAGGAGAGGAGAGGAGGCCAGTTGAGGGCTTAGTCAAGAGAACTAAAAATCTTCAATCCAAAGCTGGCGTCGGCTGGTGCTTCCAGACTGCCGGGCTTGGGTCCTGAAGACGATGAACACGTTTTGTTGGATATACTGGTTGACATGGCGAGCAGCCGGCCCCGACGGCACTTGTGTTGTGAGATTTTTGTCTCTCTCCCTACCCTTTAGTTTCGCCCGCCAACCACATCCTCACACGTGACACTAAATATGACACCAAGCATAATATTACGTTTTGGCTTTAGATTACACTGCAATGTTTAGTATCTCGTTTTCTCATATATCTTATCATTGTTGCATTGCGGCACATTAGCTGAAGCTTGTTTATTAGCTTCATTTATCCACAATTCGGGTGCGCAAACAACGCACGTTGAAAGAGTCAGTGTGTTGGCATGCGTAAGATGTGTCACCATCTAGCGTTTAACTTTCCCAACATCCGGATAGCTACTCTTTCTCTACTTTTTGCATACTACCTCATTCTCTTATTTTGGCGACCTGAGTTGTGGCAACTGAATCCACCGGCACTTTGGTACTCGGATCATAGTCGTTCAATTGAAACGTACCGAACTGGCCCGATGCACAAAATGACAGTGCTCTTCCTCCGAAAACGCTCAATACTCACGCGGTACCCTCACCATATTTGGGTTACACAGTGAAAGTGCCGGTGGACGAACTCAACTGGCATTTTTATATCTGTCTATCAGATGGGACAGCCAACTCAAATGCCCAATAGAATTGAGCGGATGGTAGCAAGTAGACACAACTCTTAAGGGAGAGGGCGGTGTGCAGGTGCCATAAGTGTTGGGAAATAACAAAGGAGCTTCAGACATATGGTATGCACTCTGTGGTCTTTATATATATATATATATATATATATATATATATATATATATATATATATATATATATATATATATATATATATATATATATATATATATATATATATATATATATATATATATATATATATATATATATATATATATATATATATATAGATTCCGATTTTACCTGTCACTGTGGACTGCATGGGAACAGGCACTGCACACCTTCACCTACAGAGGCCATAGGTGGCTTGCGCAGCACAACTCACAGCTCCATCCACACACCACATATCTAATGTAAACCCGAAGGAATAAGAGCGGAAGACATTTACATGGGAGCCACGTTTCCTCAATGGAGCCGGCTCACATTCCCTTAAAATGCACAACAGAAGCATTCGTGCCCATCTAATTTTGGAGTCATGCGTACCAGATGTACACAAGGCGGTAGTCCGCTCCACACTAGATGGAACTACGTTCGAGGCTAGCACAGCCACGAGGACTGTGCGCTCAGCCTTCCCAGCAGCGATTAGCAGTCTTCTGAAGCCAGTAATCGAGGTGGAGGGTGTTAGCCAGGTAGGCACCTTGTCAACATTTGCATCAAGCGCGGCCACACCGGGGATATCAAACCACCAACACAGAATTTGAAAAAAATAAACACGCAATAATGGCCCGGAATATGAAGCAGAATAACAGAATTGAATAACATAGAACAATTTTTATCCAGGTTAAGAAGATCTAGTTTAAGTGTAAGTCGATGTAGCCCAAGTGCGAGAAAGTATCATGAAGTATGCAATATCAAACTCAGAATGTTAATCTGTGCTATAAGATAATGAAGAATCGAATGACCTGGAGTTCCGTGGTTTCGCCTTTGACTTCAGCTGCCAAATGTTCAACTTCCGTCATCTTTTTCAATGCACACTTCCTGGCGTATTTTCTGTTCTGAAGGCGGCGACGTCGGGTACGCAACTCTCTGTGCTCTTCCTGAGTGACCTGGTGTTTCTCAAGCATGCAACGCAGGTCAGAGATGGACATCTGAACAAGTTCTTCATCCGAAATTAAAGTACACATGGCTGAAGTGAGGAATGAACGAAAGTAGGCAGTGGGTTCTTTGAATATATATATATATATATATATATATATATATATACAGTAGTTGACCAAGATACAAATGACGGTGCCACAACACATGGGTGAAAATAGTGAAAGAGAGGAAGACAGCATCATGGGGACCCAAGGTCTCCACAAGATCGCAAGCTGAAACCACGGAAGGTAATGAGACGCGCATTCAGACCAGTGCACATGTTTCGATCAGCTTTCCAACTAGTGAGACATACATTTTTCGATCAGCATAAGAAACCATTCTATTTCCGACCAACGTTCGCAATTATGACACATTCAGTCATTTTTACCTAAGAAACATTCGTTTTTCCAGTCTAGCCTCAGCACTTACCAACAACCACTTTTCGACATCTTCCGTCGGCATATTCATATAGTGCCAATTCACTTGTTCATGAGTTCCTTCTAGTGTTTATTTACGCAAACCATTCTACGTGAAAATTTAGAAAATTCACAATCGCGGTACATAAGCAAAGATGGGCTGGGCTGTAATTGCCTTTGGGCTGCTCGATAAAAGTAATTGTTGCGAAAGGCCTGTTTTTAGACTTTTTCACTCTGGTTCCGTTAGTTGTGTGTGAAGTTGCTTTCGGTCTAGGAGCCTCTTCAACTCGCATGCAGTAACTGTGTTGCGGCTAAGTCTCACGGGTAGTACGAACTTTGGAATTTGTTGGTTAGCATGTCGTGCGTGAATATAGTTCCGAGTCACATTCATTCGTCCGACTAGGAGAATTGATACCCGATCGTCGGTGGTGCAACCAAAAAGGAGATTTAACACAGCCTCACACCATGTTTGCTATTTATTGCGGTAGCGGACCATACACTCTGGTGTTTCCAACCATGTGTGGCCAGGAGTCTTGGATGCCCAACCCGGGAGTCCGAAAGGCCACACTGCGATCAATGTTAACGGTTTGTTACCTTGAGCTCAAATTGCGCGCTGACCACCTCCGACGCTTGCAATTAACACCAGTGCGCGCCATGAGTGGGATGTTGGACAACTGCCGTGCAGAAATAATAAGCAAATGTCCGAGTTATCGAAACATGTGTGGGGAAATTATGCAATGCTACGGTCGGACAAATTCGTCAGTTGTGAGAATCCAACGACGAATGTCATTGATATCAATGAGATGTTGCCGATCGCACATCAGCGATGATTCGGACGCAGCAGTGATCAAAAACAGGCTCTGAAAATCACTTGCGCGAAACAAGTCAGGTATCGTAAGCGTAAAGAAACGCTGTTGGTGCCAGAGTATCGCAGGCCCGGGCCTGGAATGAAAGGCTGAGGTCATGACGACACGAGAGATCTCAGAGACTAGCAAAGGCTAGTATGGCTTTGAATACTTGAAGAGAGATTTTATCTGTTAATCCGCCCACACTAAGGCAGCACCCAAGGCAAACGAACTTATCGGTTATTTCCAAGAATAAGGCCCAAGAGCGAGGGTAGGAGTAGGCCAGCCAATCCTGAGGGAGAACCGCAATCCGTAAGAGTGAAGGTCATTTTGAACTCGGAAGCAGATATCCCCAACATGCACGGCATGTGCGGTGCAACCGGTGAGGAGTAACAAATTACGGCAGTCGTCGGTATACTCCAAATCACGAAGACGATCATCCAAATGACCTCTTCGCAAAAGAACTAAGGTACGATGCTCAAAGCTGAACCCAACACATCGTACAAGGGGGCTTCAGATTGAAGACAAAAATGGATTTGATTACAACGATCTATAAAAGCAGCTAAATGATAAATTGCGAAATTAGAGGTGGAGACAAATGAGATTTGGTTTGGAAAACTCGATATTGGTTGAAGAATTTGTTGATCCAGTTATGAGACTTTACACAGGATGCCAATCCTGGGGCGAAAGTCATGCCATACTTGGTGGTGTTAAGCACCAAGTGGTCTAGAACGACCTGTATGATCTGTGGGTCGTCAACGAGGAAGGCACTATTATCAGCGTAGTCCAAGTCAGTCACGCAGTTGTCTAGAAAAAAAGCTATGCCAAAATCTTGGATACCTTCCAGAGCGTTTAGTAAAACGTCCTCAATCGCAAATTTAAAAAGAAGCTGGGGTTTGGGGCATACCTGTCGCATGCTGCTAGTGACGATGAAGAGACTTTACCGTAAGCCTTCACTCTACCACCGATATTGTTGTATAAAGCTCGATGTATGATGGTATAGTTTACGGGAACCCCATTTCTTTGCAGACAACGCCACAGAGCAGTCCGGTAAACCGAGTCAAACGCAGCTCGGATGTCCAAAAAGGTGACAGTGGCAGACTGGCGATAAAGATGGCGCTGCTTGAGGAGTTGGCGGAGCGTGAACATGTGGTCCGTGCGGATAGTTCGATAGGAAGCCGCTGCTGAAAGTTATTTAAATCGAGGAGGCTATGAGTTCTTTGCGATTTTACTTTATCAACTCGTGTGGTTATTAACTGAAACAACCTATCTGGGCTAGTCATCAGTGTAGAAAAAGAGCAATAAGTAAATACCTGTTTGTTGAGCACGGATGGATAATGCTGTTTCCAGTGTGACGTAGTGGTCCGTAGTAAAAGTTGCACTGCAACGACTCGCATCATTAATGCAGTGAGCGGGAAACGATGTATCTGACAGAATAATATCCATTCTGCTCCCTTAAACCCGTGGGTTGTGGATATTCATCGCAATGACTCGCTTCCGGATCGCAATACTGTACGGTAGGGACAGGATATGACCCAAGGACGGAACAAACTTTCGCCTAAGGAACGTTCAATTTCGTGCGCTAGTAAGCGAAACAGAGCCCAAAGCACAGAGACTTGATAGAAGGCTCTTGCGTTTATAATGAGAAATCCAGGAGCAAGAGAAAAATAATCACTACATTTTCACGCTCATGGACGACTGCGAATAACATCAACTTTCCAGGTATTAGAGTAATTATGCGGATATAAAGGAAGCCTAGTTGTAATGCATTGTTGTGCAACCTACATTTCCGTAAGATCAGGTTTGTCGATTGGCATTCAGAGATACATCGTTTCATTGGACTGTAGGGAGTAGAAGGAGAGTTCTTTGTTAGCTCACCCCATGCCGATCATTGTGTGGAAGCCGCGAATCGTTGAGAAGCGGTACTGTACAAGGGACTGTAACAGCTACAGTGGATGCAGCAAAGTCCCAGCGTACTCAGCAAGTATGCAACAGTTGCTAGAAACATACATCAGTTTGGTCATTGACCACGAACTTCCGTAAGTTGTTCCAGTTATTTACCACGCGAATTGATAAAGCGAGAGCGGGACGAAGTGGGAGCCTTCTCGGTTTAAGCATTTTTTAGTTGTGGTGCCGAGATGACTAATTAATGTTGACTTGAAAGAACGTTTGCAGTTCCATTCCCCCCGCCATCGCCTCAGGATGCGCCTGGTGCAAATCAGGTCACCGCGACGTCGACGAGTCCAGAGAGATCAGGTTCATCTATGGAAATCGAAAGGGGTAAGGCAAGTCCCGTGACTCCAATATGGACTTCGGGCCACGACGCTGAACCTACACAATCAGGTTACATTCGAACTTTGTAAGAAAAAATATGATAGGCAAACCGTATTTGGGAATCGGACGCACATGAGGAATAAACAGGAGTCTGAAGATCTCCGAAGTTAACCGTCAGAAAGCTCGTTGTAGGCAGCGGCAACTATCCGCGAGGGGTCCTGCGTAGACCGTAGATCATATGACACAAGTACGCCGAGGTCCTCCTCAAAAATGGCGGTTCGTAGTAACACGTCACCAAGATAGTAACTCCCGAAGTACTCAGGAGCGCCAATGAGAGGAACCGAGCAGTTACCGCGATATATGGGAAATCGCCGCTTGATTGGTCGCTCATGTAACATTTCGAGTGTCGTTTGTAGTCTGTCAGCACCCTCAAGAAAAGATACCACCATACACAGCTTCAAGTCATAGATGTAAAGTAGTCAATCCAACTAATGTTCCGAGTTGAGGCCATTGATGAATATCTTGAAAAGTTCTGAACCGACGCTGGCTTGTTGAACAGCCTCTTCGTGATGTCAGCTGGGCGGCCTAGGAACTTCCTGTTTTGGCAAATAGTTCAATGACAGTGTTTCATGAAGACGAGGTCACTAAGCACAGAGCAAGAGCGCGAGGCGCTTTTGCTAACTATCGCCACCTATGACACCGGCGTGACAACATTCCTTGAAGGACAGAGTTTACAATGCCAACGCACGTTCAACTTTACTGTACGGTTGTGAAACCTAGCCCATCAAATCGACGGATATAAAGAGGCTAGTTACGTTCGGCCACCGGTACCTTCAAAGTTTGGCTCATATCAGGTGGGAACACCGCGTGAGCAATGAGCGTGTCCGATGCCTGTTTGTGGCACACGAAGAGGAAGTGAACCACTCATCACTGTTATTTCAAGCACCAGACTCCGATGGCTGGGCCACGTGTTGCGTATGTCAGCACCCGGACTCCAACATCGTGCGCTGTTTGCGGGCCCGGGTGTGAATGGAAGAAGGGAAGGGGTGGCCAAGCAATAACTGGATCAAGAAAAACGAAGACCCTTAGTTTGAATTTAGCCCCGTTGGAGCCCTTCGGCTCTCTGGTTGGGGTCCGAAAAACGATGAACACGTTTGGTTGAATACACTAGCTGACATCGAAAACCCGACCTCGGTGCCGTTTGTGTTGTGAGTTTCTTTGTGCAACTACCAACAATTTAATCTCCCTCTCTAAATACGACCTCACTTAATAGGCATAATATAACTTTTTGCAGTACAATAGTCGGCTGGTAGCTTACCGGGACGACGCCCATGGTTTACTGGCGGCGCAGTTGGCGTGACCATGCTGCACGTTTTTCTTCTTTGTGTTGCGGTACAATAGCTAAATCGTTTTCCACAGTTAGCTAACGTGTATAATGAATGAATGAATGAAGTGATGTTCCATGGCGTGATGGGTTTTCGCTTGACAAGCGTTCCCAATAGAAAAAGTCAAAAT